CACCCCTCTCCTCCCCCGGCGGGCTCGGCGGAGCATTGTACTCACATCCGGGGCTGGGTTTTGCTTTAATGCGAAACGTAATTAACCCGGAAAAAAGAGCCGAGAGACAAGAGAGGAGGGGTGGGGGGTGGGGGGAGAAGAGCGAGAGGCACCGAGAGTTTGGCAGCGACATAAAGAGATCCCCCGAGAGCGACGGCCCTGCCGGCCGGAGAGGCACGTCCCACCCCGATGTAACCCGCCCTGCCCGAGCCCCGGCCCCTGCACGGCGGGGTAAGTTGGGCGCGCTCGCGGGCCTGGGAGCGGAGAGGCGCAGAGGGGCGCGCGGGGGCAAGCAAGCGCTGGGGGCGCTGGGGGCGGCAAGGGCGCGCAGGCGGGCTGATGGCGACAGGGGAGGTCGCCGCAGCCCCTGGCTTCCTCCTCTAGCCCCCGGGAAAGCGCGGAGGGCAGCCCCTCCTCCAGTTCTCTGGAGCGTCCGGGGTGGCCAAGGTCGCCACCGCCAGGGGTCGGGCTGCGGGGGTGGGGCCGCGGGAGGGTGGGGGCGGGTGTTCTGCTGAGCTGCATTTTCTCACGTTTGCAGCGGCGAAACTTCTCTGCGGGTTCTGGCGCTGGAGCACCGGCCCCGCCACGACCGCCGGGGCTGCGGGTAGGGGAGGAGAGCAGAGCAGAGAACGTCCAGGCAAGTCCCTTGGGCACGGATTGGGCCGTGGAGTCTCTTCTTTCTCTTCCTCTGTTACCTTATTACATGACAGGCCTAGAATGCGCCCCTAGGGAGATCCCTTCTTCTCTGGGTCCAGCCCGGGCCCTCGGGCTTCTGGAACTCCGGGCTATGGGAGTGACTTGAAGGAAAACCGTCCTAAAATGCAGGTTCAGTGCCAGGTTGGGAGAGCACCTCGAGGGGAGGTGTCTGTCTATCTCCTTCTCACCAACTTCTTCCTCACCTTACACGCTTCCCTTTTCTGCTCCAGTTCTGAGCTATTACATCAAATTAAAAAAAAAAAAAAAAAAGGAGGAAAGGGAAAAAAAGAGGCCTTATAGGAAGGAAAAGTGTCCCGGCACTTCCAGAGAGGAGGCGCAGCAGGGCCACCGCCACTAGGGATTCACACATCTCCTCCCCCAGGCCAGCCCTGCCCC